CCGCGCCGCAGCTCCAGAGCAGCGGGCGGCGGGACCCGCGACCAGCTCAGGAACAGCGATCGTGACGCGGGCGCTCAAGACCCCTCGGCCCCCGCCTCAGGAGCAGCTCCTGCTCCGCCCCGGAATTCCAGGGACTCGCGGAGCTGAGCGGCCCTGGGCCATTGGGGGAGCGGGGTCCCCGGACCCGAGAGGACGCTGGCGGCGCTGGTCGAGCTGGGGGTGCTGCGGCTCCACAGCGGGGCCTTGGGGGCGCAGACCTGCGGAGCCTGCGGCCGGTGGGAAGGTGAGCCCCGGGGTCACAGGCGGCGTTGGGTGATCGGTGATCGGGGACTGTGCCTGGGAACAGCGGGACTAAGGTTTGCAAAAGTAAAGGAGCCCGCCAGTAAGGGTCTCTGCAGATCTTGGGGTGCTCCCTGAGGGGGGTTCTGAGTAGCCCTTCCCCAGGCGAGAGAGAGATTCGTGAGGTGTGAGGAACTGGCCAACAGGCTCCCCACCCCTTCTCTGACCAGCGATGGACACCCTGCTACTGCCCTTGTTAGGACCCCCCCACACTGTTCCCAGAGACCCTCCTCTGGCTCTGGCTGGACTCGGGGTCTGGGAGGGCATGAGGAGTCGGGGGTCCTGTTATAGAGGGATCCTCAGAGGCCGGATCTCAGCGTTCTGAAAAGGATCGCCCATCCCTCTGACTCCAGTGGCATCTCTCCAATCCCCTGGCGCTGGGAGGAGCCAGGCAGCTGAACCCACACCTGCCCCCAGCTCCCCTTCAGCACCTTCCGGGGGGCCCCCACCCTATAGCTACATCTGAACCTTGTAGGTGGAGGCAGACTTAGCTCCACCTCACAGCCATAACCCCCAAGTTGCAACCAAAGTCTGGTGCTTGCTTCTGCCCCAGCTCCACCCCTTCTCCGCATATGGGTGCTTGGCCCACCCCACACCCCCACCCACCGCTGTTGGCCGTCTGGCACCCGCTCTCCTCCCATCCCTGGGGGAGCTGGCCTGGGCCCAGCATAGCTGATGTTGTAATGTCCCTGGCAGTGCTGGAGGAGAGGAGCGGCTGGGCCTGTTCCCAATCAGTTAACCCAGGCCCTCCACCCTCCAGGGAGCTTGACAGAGAGACCAGTGGGAAGGCGCTGGGGGGCTGCCTGCAGTCCAGCGAAGCTGCCCAGGGAAATGGGCAACCCTCAGGATGGAGGCTTGCCCGGTGCTGCTGCTTGGTGGGGCCACTTGGCGTTTTCAGGGCAATGGACCTTTTTGCTGGAAGGAAGATTAGGGTGGGAGTAGGAGTGGGGGTGGTGGCTGTGCACCTACTGAGGAGAGGAGACTCCTTTGGAGTCTGTTGGCTGGTTCGGAGTGCAAGAAGATGACTGGCAATGACCAGTAGGTACCAGGAGCAACAGAAGGGGTGGGCTGAGCACAGAAAGGCAGAATCTTCCTGCTGGGACAGCTGTGTCCCCGCCCCACTCCCCACTCTAAGTGGAAGGGGGTGGCAGAGTTTGCAGGGTTCCGGAAGCCTCAGGTTTCCAGTTCTTCACTCCTCTGCTTGGCTCCCTCTCATGGCCTTGGTATTTCTGCAAAAATACCTCCTGGGGTGGAGGTTCCTTCCCAAAGAGCTGAGGAGTGGGGCAGGGGTTGAAAGTGAGAGAGCTGAGGGAGCAGGGGCTCATGGGACCCTCTGGGATGGCCAGATCTGTAAGCTCTGGCACGCAAGGCACACTCTTAGCCCGCAGGGAGGCTGCACCACCCACCTTAGCTGCACATAACCCCTTCTGCCAGGTATGATGCATTCTCAGGCCTTCGCCGGCACGGGCATGTGGGGCTTTCTACCACACCTTCCACTTACTCATCTCTCTTGCACGTTTGCCCGTTACCCCTACCCCCTCCTTACGCTCTTTCCAGAGCCACGTGTGTCCCCGGTCAGTGCACAGTCGTAATGGCTCATTCTAAGTGGCCGTCTGGCTAGACTCAGACACTGCCTGCATCTTAAAAACCTCCCCCAGCTCCCCAGCCTGGGAGTGGGAGGCACATTTGTCTGAGGCGACGTGCTCTAGGGGACATTCTTGGAGGCTGGAGGCCTCCAGGGACACAGGACCATCCTTTGCTAGGTAATCCTCAAATTGGCTTCTGCCTGGGCAGCAGGGGAGAGCAGAGCCAGACAGCCACCTCCTCTGTCTGTCCTGGCTGCCACCATAAAGCCTGATGAGATCCTTTTCTAGGCAGGAGCCAGAGCACGGAGAGAGAGCTCCTGAGAGAATAGACAGCCAAGGTGGAGATTAAAGGGTAGAGGCTACAGCATTAAGCTGAGCAAGGATTATACAGGAATTTCCTGGGCGTTTAACAGCTGCAGAACAGGATGGAGGATGGGTCCTGTGGTGCTGACCCTGCAGCTAACAGGTGTGAGGCCAGCTCAGCAACCACAGCAGACAGAAAGCCACTGGCCCCCTTGTCCTGGGGTCCCTCCTTCTCCCGGACTCACTTTGCAACAGTGCCCCTATGGATGTGTTCTGAGCATACAGTCCACTCTTCCCCTCTTCCCTTTGTAGTTTGAGTCCATTGCTTTACATGGTAAAAGAGATGCCCGATGTTACCAGTGGGACAATTTGAACTTCTTGGGAGAGAAGCTTAAAGGACATTCAGGGATAGAAGTTATACTGCTTTTACTGTTGACATTTAACTCACTCATTCTAGGCTCCTATTGTTACCCCCTCTCTCCTTTTTCTCCTATGGATAAAAATTTCTAGATATTTCAAAACCTAGAAGGAAAAAGAGGGGAGAGGAACAACATGTCAACCTATGAGCTGGCTCCAGGGCCTGGTGGTTGAGGAAGTCAGATCCAAAATGGCCAACTGCACAGTTCAAATCCTGGGCCTGGTGGCTTGAAAAACAGACCAGGCACATGTGCCTATGTGCCCCAAATACCGACAGGATGGAGAAATGGAGAAGGAATTGCCGTGTGACCACATCCATTGGGGGTACTTGCTCCCTTTCCCTCTCTCTCTGACAAGTGCAGGTGCCCTCTGGCAAACTAAACAACAGAAATTTAAACATATGCTATATTTGTCTAAATATTTTTTCTTTTTTGTTTATATTTTAATTATGAGATTTTGTTTTAGTTATAAAAATAAGGTATGCTTTCCGTAACAAGAAAAACAGTTCACATGTGTGTAAGACAAAGCTCTCTCTCCACCTGCAATCTCCCAGCTTTTCCCTCCTATGGTAACCAAATTTAATGAGTCAGTATATCTTCTACTATGCCTTCTCCCAAGCTCATTTAGCTTACTTTATTTAATTTTTAAAAATTAAATTCGTGGATTGAGAGATATAACTCCATTAAATAAACTTGATTTGTTCACAAAAGTATCGTATTTAGCATTTAATTCGAGCACATTTTAAAAAATCTTAGAGCTTTGTTAATTTCATGTACTTTGAAATCATTCATTTTTGTAGTTATCATAATTAATAAGCTGTGCTTTATAAGCTAAGGTTCTATACATTTTTTTCCCAACTTCTGAAAATAAAATACAGTCCTGATGCCTAAGAGACTGACTGCTTTTCATAAACCAAAGAAATGGACCAGGCGTGTGGACCTAATGTCTCCACTACCTGTGTCAGAGACATAAAGTATCATATCCAGAAAAGGAGCAGTGAAAAAAATATGAAGTCATAAAGCACAATCTTTGTCACATGAAACTTTGTCTAATCACTCTCATTTTCTGAGCTATCGTTTTATATCTACATTTCTGCTGTCGTTGGTGTTTTATATTTTTAAAATGCTTTGCACATCTCAAATTTGAATGTTTTCCTGATTGAGACGATTTGTGTGCTTTCATGTAGTAGAGGATTTCTAAACATTGGTCAATTACTGTCATGAGCTGGGGAGGGTAGAGGAATCTCCAGGAACAGTGGCAAGAGATCTGGCCTTCCTGGGGTCTGTTCCTGTCCGTGTGTCAGTAGGGATGTGCTTAGCTTCTCCTGGAATGCCCTTTTGGACCAACTGCAGGAAATATTCTATGCCCGCAGGCTCATGGAAGGCACTCTTAAAAATCAAGTTCTAGGGCCAGTGGGTGGTGTGGTGGTTAAGGCGGCTGGATCCCACATGGCTGACTGAGCATCTCGAGTCCTGGCCCTGACAACTTAAAAACAAACAAACAAACAAACAAAAAACATGTTGGGTACATGTGCACGCATGCCCAAAAATCCCAAGAGGAGAAATGGAGGAGAATGGATTGCACTATGATCATCCCCAACTCAGGTGCTCAGGTGCCTTTCACCTCCCCTCTACAGTGAGCTCAAGCACCCTCTGCAAATTTAAACATCAAGTTCTAAGTCCTCCTTACTTAGTATGCCAGGCGTGTGGAGCAGCCGTGTTCTTGTCATTTACATTTCTGCCTTTGAAACTTGCTTCAGAAGAATCTGCACTGTTGACAGCAACTTATTCCATATCTTAATAAGGTTTCCTCTTTCCTTCTTTTTATTCTTACAATACCAATACATTTAGGTTCTTCTTATATATTAAAAAAATAAAAGACGTGTATTTATCTGATTTGTTTGATAAGCAAGAACAGATCTAACTTCCTAATCTGACCCAGCAAGAATTTTTTTTTCTGAAGGCACTTGTTTATAGCCTTCAGTCTGAATCTGAATCTGGAAGAAGTCCTTCTCAGACATCAAAAGTACACTTCTGATACTTTAAGATGTTCAGCTATTTCTTTTTAATGAATATCTTTGTTCTTGGTAAAATTTCAAAAAATTACTGAGTGGCAATCCACAGGCAGTATCTCCATGTTATTCTTTTCTTTTTGGTTCTTCTTGATGACAGAAGCTGCGTGGCTTTAACATGCTTCATAATTGCTTTTGCTCTTTTCGGGATCTTCTGGAGAGCGGCCAGTTTCATGTAGTCATTGGGATGCCTGCTAAGGCTATGTAAGCATACCCCAGTGCAGCCATAAGCGACTGCGTGTCTTTTGCTGTGGGTCATCAAAGAAAGCACCTCGCCATTCTTCATCCTGTAGAATGTTCCATATTGTGCAGGTGATATTATCTGCAGTGCATCTCTCCTATCTTGTCTGGCTATCTTTTAAAAAAAGCTCATTGAGCTGTTTCCAAAATATGCCTCCTTCGTTTTCCAAGATGATTTGTCTAGTGGTATTAAGTTCAGGAAGGCACAGTGCTTATTGTTTCTTCTTGGTACCAATTACAGAATCTATTCATGTTCTAACTGAGTGACTGTTTTAAAGGATATCTTTTGGGCAAATGATAAAATAGCCTGCATTGTTTAATAACTCACTGCTGGCATTTTTCATTCTTTCTAACTGTGTTACTGAAGATGCGGTGGCTCTGGACAGAATCCGGTTTGCTCCAGTGTATCACGCCTATCTTCCAGTGAAGCCACTAAGAGTCTGGGGGATGTACCCACAGTATGAATGACTTCTGCATATTATTACACAGCCAGAGGTGATGGTACCATGCTGCAGCAGTTAAGAGCTTCATTACCTCCTGGTTCCTTGATTTAATCTGTGAATGATCCTAATAGCATTTGGGACAGTGTTTGCAAAGAACTTTGGTTTTTAGGAACAATTTGCCATATGGTAATGCTTTTTATTTTTTTCTCTTTTAGCCCTCGAAGGGCATGCACACTTACTGGAGAAATTGAGAGACAGAGGCAGAGACAGTGAGAGGAAAAGTGAGACATAACCTCCCAAGGGGGATGGCCAAGCCACAATTCTGTCTATTTTCCTCCCAGGATCTTGGGCACTCATGCCCATGTACCCAGTGTGAATTTCAAGCTTTTGGGTCCAAGACTTGAACTGACTAATCAGCCGTGTGGGAGTCCAGCGACGGAACCACTAAACAATCTGTTGACCCCATGGAAATGCTTCATACTTGCCTTTATAGACTGTAAATTAAACTCTCTATTTTATGGAGTCATACAGTAATGAAAAGTGAATTTCAGTGGCTGGTTGACAGATACCCACTATACCCGCTTGTACACATGTAGAAATGGATGACTTTGTGCAGATAACACTGAAGGCTTCATCTTATAGCACAGCCAGCATTATTTGAAAAAGAAAGAAAGAAGGATTAGATAAGTAGGAACCAAATTATAATTTTCATATTTGCACAAGGAGACAAATACCCAGGAGATGACAGTTCTCCACTTCCCTTCCAATTGACTTTTTTTTTTTTTTCCGCTCTGTCATATGCCTTTTGAACATGGTTGTTTCCATTTATCAAGAGAATGTAAGGGACGCTGCTGCTCTTGTCTTCATAACTCATGGACTTTTGAGAATGGTCATAAGGACATAGAGGACAGCCAGTCTCTGGATCAACAAGCAAAGGTTGTGTGGGCCTGGCTGTCTGCAAGTGTCCCTGGGAGTGTCCAAGCCTTCTGTGCATGGGAGTGTGAGCTCAGTGTCCAGGCCTTCTGTGCTTCCTAAGGGCTCAGGGGTGTTATGTAAGAAGCAGCTTACCAAAGTGTCCCGAGAAATCATTTTGAGAGTGCAAACACTATTTTTATTCATTTTTCCAAAAAAGCAAAATAGTTTTAAAGGAAATTTTCATTAATGATTTGGTTAAAAAGAGAATACATTTGTAGGTTTTTTTAAAGGCAGAAATGAAAAGGAATACAGTGAAAAGTAAGTGTCCCTTGTATGGGCCCCCAGACTTCTTCCTTTGTCTTTCTTCACAACTTTTGTATATTCTTCCACAAATACCTTTCTGTACACAGGTGGATGCATGTCCTTCTGAGGTGACCGGATGGGAGTTTACGTTACACTGTGCTGCACTGTATACAACTGTCACCTGGAAATTATCTTCACAGCAGGATGTGAAGAATAGTCCTTATTTATTTATTTTAAATTTGCTATATAACATATGTGCTCACTGGAGAGATACAGAGAAAGAGAGAGAGAAAGTGAGAATGCACTACCCAGGGGGGGATGACCATGCCACAATACCTTCTCCTCCATTCTCCTCTTGGGGTTTTGTATACACATGTACACACACCTGGCATGCTTCCCTAACTGTGTGCCCGTGACGAACCACACAGTTGGCCATGTGGAACTCAGGTGCCCTAACCACTCTACAACCATCTGGTCCCCATATTTATTTTTAAGGCTGTGCCATTCTTTTTAGCATCTTCCTGTTAATGGATATTTTAGTCTTTCCTGCTATAAGCAAGTCACAGTGAAGAATTCTGTATTCTTGTTCAAACATCTGTGCAAACTGGTACAAGTGGACAGTACCTGAAGGACAAATTCTTAGAAGTGAAGCTGCTAGATAGATATTGTCGCCTTGTCCTCCCAAGGGAATATACCAATTTGAACTCATAAGCACAGTGTATATGAGGGAGTCTTCAAAAAGCTCACAGAAAATACACATTATTGAAAAGAAAAACTATGCATGACTTTAAAAGAACTTTGGTACCAAAATAAACTCATACTTGAACTCCATTTTCCATGAACTGTTTGAAGCCTTTTCCTGCACGAGAACCTATCGTACCTTCTCCGACGTGACGTTTTCTCAATCCGTAGGCTAAGCTGGTGTATTGGTCAGATGGGGTGTTGTAACAAAGTACACAGGGCTACATCACTCTGTACAACTGATTTAATTGTCAGAGTTCTGGAAGCTGGGAATCTGAGATCAGGGTGCCATCATGGCTGGCTTCTTCCAGAATGTAGAATGTTCTCTTCTTACTCTCCTCACATGGCAGAAAGAGGACAATGAAGAAGCCTCTGAAATCATTCTCTCTCTCTCTCTCTCTCTCTCTCTCTCCTTCTCTCTCTCTCGGTTTATCAGGGACAGACAGGGAAAGGAGAGAGACACACCTCCAGTGGGGCATAGTCATGTCACAGTCCCTTCTCTATATCTCCATCCCGTAGGGACTTGGGGCACAGGCACACACACCTGGAATGTTTTTTAGGCCACTGGGACCAGGATCCCAACTGCATAATGGGTCATGTGGGAGCTCCCTTGACCTATTTTTGTAAGAGAACCATTCTCATTCACAAGGGCTCCATCCCTATGACCTCCCAAAGGCCCTGCGTCCTTATATGGGGGGTAGGATCTGACACTCAGCAGTTACAAGTGCATGTCACTATTGTTTTCATGTGCCTCTCTTTAGATATAAGAGCATCTTTTCACATGTTTAAGCTACACATTTATTTTCTGTAAGCCGTAGGAGAAAACATGCCCCTGGTGGGAGAGAACCTTTGTGCAGAGAGTGTGCCAGACCTGCATAGCTGTCCCCTCCCCGTGCTGTCTCACTCATCTGACACAATCCCTTGCCTGTGTTGTTTTTTGCATCTGTTTTCATACCTTCGCTCCCATCATACCCTGAAGCCATCTTTCTCTGTCCCTCCTGCTTCACTGCCTCTCTGAGATGTCTAGAGTATCCAGGCCTGACGGGTTGGATGGGGTGGGAGTTGCGGAGAAATGTGTGTGTCCAAAAGGAAGAAAAATCTTCTTACCCACCTGCCTGTAACGAGAAGAGCCTTCTGACTTCCCAAACAGGCTGGCTGTTGGAGGAAGGGAAGAGAGTAAATGAAGAGAAAGAACTGGATTAATTCCTTCCAGAAGAAGAAGGTAAGACTGACCCAGAACTACCCTGCGATCCACCTTGAAGTGGGAAGGTGGGCTGGGGAAATGGGTGCAGAGAGAGGGTCACACCGGGAGGGGGCCCGAGCGGCCTGCATGTGGCCATCCGAGACAGTCTGATTTGCAGATTTGGACCGGAAGCACAGTCTGGCTCCTGTCCCGTGGGTGCTGGGGCAGTCTGACAGCTGCAGACAGAGACATGGGCCCAGAGTTTCAGAGCCTGGGCTGTATCTGAAGAAATGCAGTTTCCTCCCACCTGTTGCTTTTGGTCTCAGTGTCTCTCCAGGAAGCAAGCTCACCTGCAGACCCCCATCTTACAGGAACTGCAGCCCTGCCTGGAGCAGGGTAGTGGCAGGGGCGATGGTAGGAGCTCTGAAGATGCCCCATGGCTACTGAGGGGGCTGCCTGGTCAAAGGGCAGAGTGACAGGCATGCTTTGGGCCCTGTTTCTGGCGTCCTCAGTTCTGGCTCTGGAAGGTAAGCAGGAAGGAAGGAGGGGAGAAACCCCCTTTTTTTTTTTTCTTTTTTTGGAGACGTTTTTGCTATAGGGCGCATGTGCTCACCAGACAGAAAGAGACAGCGAGACAGAAAGCAATATATCATCCCCCGGGGGGATAGCCATGCCACAATCCCTTCTCTTCCATTCTCCTCTTGGGATCTTGGGCATGCACGCACACACGCCCGGCATGAGTTTAAGCCACCGGATCCAGGACTCAAACTGCGGTCGACTATGTGGGAGTCCAGTGACATAGCCATTATGCTAACTGCTGGTCCCGAGAAACTCCTTTTTGACCAGAGAGACAAAAAGAGTGAAGTCAGCACACGAGGGAAAGCAATGGGAGGGGAACAGGGCCTAGGTCCACCTCAGAGCGAGGATCAGGACAGGCAGCAGTGCTCCTGCTGGTAAATGCAGTGACCCTGGAGGGAAACTTGGGCTCCTAATGGGAATGGAGTGGGAGTGACAAGTGCCAGCCGCAGCTCAGCCCCCACGTGCCCCTCTTCTGTCTGGGCAGAGGTCTTGCTGGACACCTCAGGGGAGACATCTGAGATCGGCTGGCTCACCTACCCGCCAGGCGGAGTGAGTGCTGCTCTTTCCTTCTCACCTGGCCCTTGTTCCTGCCCCTCCTGTTCCCCAGAGTGGGTCCCGGAAATTAACAATGCATAAGATTGGTGGGCAAAGACTCTCCCTCTGGAGGAGCAGGATTTCAGGGGCTCCTCTCTCTGCTTTGCTTGTCATTAATTGTCAGTCTCTGGGGAGGGCTGTGCCCCGCTTGGTGTGCCCCTGCCCCAGCCCTGACAGCTAACCTTCTCCTGGCCCCCTGCAGTGGGATGAGGTGAGCGTTCTGGATGACCAGCGACGCCTGACTCGGACCTTTGAGGCGTGCCACGTGGCAGGGGCGTCTCCCGGCCCCGGGCAGGACAACTGGCTGCAGACACACTTCGTGGAGAGGCGAGGGGCCCAGAGGGTGCACATCCGACTCCACTTCTCCGTGCGGGCCTGCTCCAGCCTGGGCGTGAGCGGGGGCACCTGCCGGGAGACCTTCACCCTTTACTACCGTCAGGCCGAGGAGCCCGATGGCCCTGACAGCATCTCAGCCTGGCACCTCAAACGCTGGACCAAAGTGGACACGATCGCAGCGGACGAGAGCTTCCCCGCCTCCTCCTCCTCCTCCTCCTCCTCAGTGTGGGCTGTGGGACCCCACAGGGGACAGCGAGCAGGGCTGCAGCTGAATGTCAAAGAGCGGAGCTTCGGCCCCCTCACCCAGCGCGGTTTCTATGTGGCCTTCCAGGACACCGGGGCCTGCCTGGCCCTCATAGCGGTCAAGCTCTTCTCCTACACCTGCCCCACTGTGCTGCGGGCCTTTGCCTCCTTTCCTGAGACACAGGCCAGTGGGGCTGGGGGGGCCTCCCTGGTGGCAGCTGTGGGTACCTGTGTGGCCCATGCAGAGCCAGAGGAGGATGGCGTGGGGGGCCAGACAGGGAACAGCCCCCCAAGGTTGCACTGCAACGGGGAGGGCAAGTGGATGGTAGCTGTTGGGGGCTGCCGCTGCCAGCCTGGACACCAGCCTGCCCGAGGAGACAAGGCCTGCCAAGGTGAGCGCCCACTCCCCTGGGCCTGCCCAAGGCCTTCAGGCTTCGCTCCTGAACACCCCTGCCCAAACTTCATTCTGTGTCCATTAGGTCAGGAAGATACTATCTTAGGAAAGGAGCCCTGTTTCCTCAATTTTGTTTTCTAAAGTGCACAAACTTGCTTTTTATCCACTCACACGAAATTTCTGGAATCTTCTAGAGCCTTCCACAGCCATAGCTGAGAATTCTAAGGCTCTAATCCTGAGAAGTGATTGTGAACTCCTGGTTTTCCTTGGGATGGGGTCCTTTTTCTCCCCCTTGGCCATCTGATAGAAGGTTTCTTGCAGGACCAGGTGACCAGGCTGCAGGTAGGAGGCTGTGGAGAATGATCCCACAGCCAGCAGCCTACACAAAGCAAGGTTATGCAACCAAGCCTGACATACCTACATCTGGTGCCTGGCCTGCCTGCAGCCTTCAGTATACCTCACTTTTTACATTTTTTTAATTTGCTACAGGGCGCATGTGCTCTCCAGAGAGAGACAGAGAGAGAGAGAGAAAGTGAGAAAACACTCCCTGGGAGGAGGGCCACACTGCAATCCTTTCTCCATTCTCCTCTGGATTTTGGGTGTGCTGCTCTGGCTGACACACCATGCCCCTGGCTGACCAGCACACTTCACTCGTTTCATCAATGGAATTGTAATTCTCTCCCAGTGAGTGGCAGAAGAAATCTCTGCCCCAAGGAAGAGAGGATTGGGGTAGCTCTCAGGGAAAAGGAGAGCTAGGATGGGGAGACCTGTGCCAGGGCATGCTGGGAGCTCAGGGCAGGTGGGCGGCGGGAGTGTGACAGCCCCCTCCTTTCTGCCTCCTCAGCCTGCCCCAAGGGGTTCTATAAGGCCTCTGCTGGGAATGCTCCCTGCACTCCGTGCCCTTTCCGCAGCCACACCCCTGACCCCGCAGCCCCCATTTGCCCCTGCCTTGATGGTTTCTACCGGTCCAGCTCCGACCCACCTGAAGCCCCCTGCACTGGTGAGTCCCAGCACAGAGACCTAGCACCTGGGAGCGGGGTCAGGGTGGGGAGCCCGGGGTTACACTGGGACTCTGCATTTGAAGTGACCTTTCTCCTATTCCCTGGCTTCCTCCTGTCCTGCCTCTCCCTCTCCCTGACCCCACCTCACCCTCGCTTCTGCTGCTCTTGTCCCTCACCTGCTTCCTTGCCACCCCCATCACCACCACCATTCTCTTCCATTCCTTCTTGGGCTGCTCCCTCTCTCAATCACCCCACCCCACTACTTCCACCTTGTCGGCCCTTTCCCTGCTGCCCCTCTGGCCCCCAGGCCCACCATCCGCTCCCCGGGAGCTGTGGTTCGAGGTGCAGGGCTCAGCGCTTATGCTGCATTGGCGCCTGCCGCAGGAGCTGGGGGGCCGAGGTGACCTGCTCTTCAATGTCGTGTGCAAGGAGTGCGGAGGCCATGGGGAGCCTGGCGGTGGGGGCACTTGTCGCCGCTGCAGGGATGAGGTGCACTTCGACCCCCGCCAGAGAGGCCTGACTGAGAGCCGAGTGCTAGTGGGGGGGCTGCGAGCACACGTGCCCTACATCTTGGAGGTGCAGGCTGTCAACGGGGTGTCTGAGCTCAGCCCAGACCCTCCCCAGGCTGCAGCCATCAACGTCAGCACCAGCCACGAAGGTGAGCCCTAGTGTCCCTTAGCAGCCCTTTCCCACACCCGTTGTGCAGCCTCTTGGCTCCCAGGGACTCCCATCCCTGATACCCCTGCACTTCAGTCCCATCCGCAGTGCCTGCTGTGCACCAGGTGAGCCGGGCAGCCAACAGCATCACCGTGTCCTGGCCACAGCCTGAGCAGACCAACGGGAACATCCTGGACTATCAGCTCCGCTACTACGACCAGGTGGGCACGAGGTCTGGTGGCAGCTCGCTGCCCCCATGATGGGACCTGGAGGTTGGGCAGGACAAGAAGGGCAGGCCTACTGCATGGTGGATGTCTCTGAGAGGACAGGGAAGGGGTGGGGCAGGGAGTGAGTGACTGTCACCCTCAGGCGGAGGACGAATCCCACTCCTTCACCCTGACCAGTGAGACTAACACAGCCACTGTGACGCAGCTGAGCCCTGGCCACATCTACGGCTTCCAGGTGCGGGCACGGACTGCAGCCGGCCACGGCCCCTATGGGGGCAAGGTCTATTTCCAGACGCTGCCTCAAGGTGAGGGGAAGTCTGGCTGGACAGGGACAGCTCCTGGGGGAGATGAGGAGAGGCCTGGGGGGAATGAGGAGAGGCCAAAGGGCTAGCCGGGCCTTGAACCCCAAGCCAGCATCCTGCAGACCAGAGGCTCTGGAGGAGATGAGGAGAGGGTGTGCTGAGCAGCCGGCTGCAGGGGCCATCCATGTTGGGGGAATGTGGGGAGGATTTTTGTGTTGTGTGTAGGGGTGTAGGGTTTCAGGGTGCATGGTGTGTGCACGTGTGTGGGAGTGTATGTGAGCTACATGCATGGTAGAGTGGGGTTGGTTGTGCACACACACAAGCGAAGCCCACCCACCTGTGACCCCGGGCACTGGTCCCCAGGTGAGCTGTCCTCACAGCTTCCGGAGAGACTGTCCTTGGTGATCGGCTCCATCCTGGGGGCCCTGGCCTTCCTCCTGCTGGCCGCCATCACTGTCCTGGCTGTTGTTTTCCAGCGGTGAGCCCCGCACCTTCCTGCCCTAGCACCACTCACCGGAAGATCCAGCCCATCCCAGCCCCGCAGCCTCTGAGTCCCTGCAAAGAGCCCCACCAACACCTCCCCTGCCACTGTGCCTCTGCCCTGGGCCCTGCGGAGGGGGGAGGAAGGGGCCAGCAGGATAGGTGGGGACAGCAAGGGGGCAGAAATGAGAGAGATCTCTGGTGTGTCCCTCAGCAAGCGGCGTGGAACGGGCTACACGGAGCAGCTGCAGCAGTACAGCAGCCCAGGTGGGTGCCGGGCGGGGACGGCACAAAGCGAGAGTTGAGGCTCAGGGCTGGCTGAGGTTCTTCTGGGCTGAAGGGAGCTCCATGGCACCGCCTTCCAAAAGTGAAAGGGCACCTCCGGGTGTGTGGGCACCCCAGCCCAACACCACCTGCTCTTGATATGCCTGTGCCCCACAGGGCTCGGGGCGAAGTATTATATCGACCCCTCCACCTACGAGGACCCCTGCCAGGCCATCCGAGAACTTGCCCGGGAGGTCGATCCTACCTACATCAAGATTGAGGAGGTCATCGGGGCAGGTACTGCAGGGACAGGGAGGGGACAGGATGGACAGGGCTCCCCGTGAGCCCGGTCTGGCAGCATTCCTTCCAGACACGCTAGGATGTTGGGAGCGCATGGTCCTTCCGTGACCCTGGCCCAACCCACATCTGTTCTCCCAGGCTCCTTCGGAGAAGTGCGCAGGGGCCGGCTGCAGCCCCGTGGCAGGCGGGAGCAGACTGTGGCCATCCAGGCCCTGTGGGCTGGGGGTGCCGAGAGCCTCCAGATGGCCTTCCTGGGCCGGGCGGCGGTGCTGGGCCAGTTCCAGCACCCCAACATCCTGCGGCTGGAGGGCGTGGTCACCAAGAGCCGACCCCTCATGGTGCTGACGGAGCTAATGGAACTTGGTCCCTTGGACAGTTTCCTCAGGGTCAGTCCATGGGGCGGGAGGACCCTAGGGCCCCAGGAAAGCTTGGAGTTGTTCACTCTCCCAGGGGACAGAGGCCTCCACCTTTGCCCCTCTTCCCCACCACCCCGAGGTCTCCACCCTTTCCTTACCGCCGGTGTTGGGGTTCCCACATCTGTCCCCTGCCCATCCTCTCATGGGGATTGATGTCTGCATGCCGTGTGGAGGGGCCTGCCCCTCTGACCTCTGCCCCTGGTCCCTCAGCAGCGGGAGGGCCAGTTCAGCAGCCTGCAGCTGGTGGCCATGCAGCGGGGCGTGGCGGCCGCCATGCAGTACCTGTCCAGCTTTGCCTTCGTGCACCGAGCCCTCTCTGCCCACAGTGTGCTAGTGAACAGCCACCTGGTGTGCAAGGTGGCCCGCCTCGGCCACAGTCCTCAGGTGAGAGCTTGCCTGGGCTCGGCTTCTTCAGAGGGTGCTGCAGGGTGAGCTGGAATCAAGGGCAGGCACTCCAGGTGGGACACTGTAGTGTCCAGAGGGATGGAGGCCTGCACGAGGGTGGGACTGAGTGACTTCAGGGGCCAGTAGATGGCATAGCGGTTATATTGCTGGACTCCTACATGGCCGATTGCTTGAAAATCGCACTGGGCACATGTGCATGGGTGTCCAAGATCCCAGGAAGAGAAGAGACTGTGGCATGGCCATTCCCCCTGGGGGGTGATTTCTCACTTTCCTTTTCAGTGTCTCTGTCTCTCCCCTGGCAAGCACGTCTGCCCTAAGGCAAAACCTAGACTGGCCCCTGCCCTCCTCCTAACTTGGAGGTTACAGACTTCAGAGCTAGCACTTCTGGGGACAAATTCTGAAACCCCCACTTTCAAGCTCTGTGACCCCGGATGAGTTCATGTCACTATGCTTCAGCTTCTGCGACTGTACAACTGGAGAGGCCGTCATCTACCCTAGGGTTGTCACGAGGATCACAGGAGATGCTTCCTGTGACACTGAACACCCCAGAGCACCCAATAGTTGCTCAGTAAATGGGACAGTCTCTGTGATCCTCATTGCTGTTGTTCTTGGCTCCACCGCTCAGGGTCCAAGTTGTCTTCTTCGCTGGGCGGCCCCAGAGGTCCTCGCACACGGGAAGCACACCACGTCCAGTGACGTCTGGAGCTTTGGGATAGTCATGTGGGAAGTGATGAGCTACGGGGAGCGACCCTACTGGGACATGAGTGAGCAGGAGGTGAGTGCTGGCCCACACATGGTCGGCTCCCTCGGTGGTCTCTCCCAATTTGCCTGTTCTCTCACCTGTTCACATCCCCAGACCTCACAGCTCTCATACTCCCCTTTTTTTTAGAGAGTTTTTGCTGTAGGGCATGTGCACGTATCAGAGAGAGAGACAGAGAGACAGAACATGAGAAATGCCCCCAACCGGGTGGAAGGGGGGTAGAATGGTCATGCCGCAATCCCTTCACTCTACACTTGGGATTCTGGGCATGCATGCACATATGCCTGGCATGAGTATCAAGCAGCCGGGTCCGGGACTCGACGTGTAGGCAACCATGTGGGAGTCCAGCGATGTAACTATTACACCATCTGCTGGTCCCCATACTCCATATTTTTAAGTTCTTTCCCCACTCCGCCCTCAGGCTCCACTTGATCCCAGTCTATCCCCTTACCTAACAGTATATTCTTTTCTACCAACAATAGCTGCCATCATCATCTTCTTCCTTTGACCCCCAGGTACTAAATGCAATAGAGCAGGAATTCCGGCTGCCTCCTCCTCCAGGTTGTCCTCCTGGACTACATCTGCTTATGCTGGACACTTGGCAGAAGGACCGTGCCCGGCGGCCTCACTTTGACCAGCTGGTGGCAGCATTTGACAAGATGATTCGCAAGCCAGATACCCTCCAGGCTGGCGGGAGCCCTGGGGACAGGTCTGGAGCTTGGGGCTGGAGCCCGGGAAAGCCGGGGAGGGATGCCAGCCAGAAAGAAAACTGAGGAGAGGGAGCCGAGAGAAGACGAGACCTGACCTGCTTGCCCCTCCCCCAGACCTTCCCAGGCCCTTCTGAACCCTGTGGCCCTGGACTTCCCTTGTCTGGACTCCCCCCAGGCCTGGCTGTCGGCCATTGGACTGGAGTGCTACCAGGACAACTTCGCCAAGTTTGGCCTCTGCACCTTCAGTGATGTGGCGCAGCTCAGCCAGGAGTAAGCGGGGTGGGCGGGCTAGGGTGGACGCTCTAGGCTTGAGGGGTCATGTGGGGGATCCTGGACAAGCTGTCCCAGACTGACTCCTTCCCTCCCCACCAGAGACCTGCCTGCCCTGGGCGTCACCCTGGCCGGCCACCAGAAGAAACTGCTGCACAACATTCAGCTCCTGCAGCAGCACCTGAGGCAGTTGGGCTCGGTGGAGGTCTGAGGCCAGGCTGGGAGCTGCCAGCTGCCAGTGTCTGTGATCTAGCCCTGCACAGGGGCCACGGAGGGACATATGAGGCCTGAGCCAGGCTGCATCCCGGGCTCCATGAGAGGTGCCTGCCACACCACATCCTCCCATCCCTTCCTGACCTTGCGTTCACCTGTCCGCCCCTGCACCCTGTCCCCACAGCCCTCCCATTAAAGGGAAAGAAGGGAATCTGCAGAAGGGAACTGAGGTGTGCTGAGGCCTTGGTCTGTAGGGAAGCGCGCAGGGGCCTTGGAGGAGGAGCAGAGGGGTGGCAGCAGGGGCACTGCAGAAATGCAGAAGGGAGCGGAAACGACTTTATTGGAAGGTGGCAGGTGGCAAGACTGCCGCGGCACCTGCGCCCCCCCAAGACTGCAGTGGCCCCTGCCCCCCGCCGAGTCTTCCCTCAAGCCCAGTGCCTCCCCATCAGCTGTCGGAGCACCTGAGAAGGGCTGTCTCCCTTCCCACTATGACCCTGGGGTAGAGGCTGGGAGCCTGAGAGGGCAGGCCTGTCCTTAAAGTGCTCTGATGTGCAGTGGGACTTTCATAAGGGAGTGGGGGGTAGCAGCAGGCCAGCTCCTGCATGCCCAGCCCTATGCATGGGGTCAGGCGTGGGCCACCACTGACTCAGGTTGGTGGCCCCAGAGCAGGAGGAGCAGTGGGGACCTGGAGCCGTTATTCTCAGCGTCCGTTCCTCAAGGTTCATGCTGCTTTCTTTCCTCTTGGATCCAGGAGATTAGAACTCTAGGATTTTGTCATGTTTGGTTTGTGTTTTTGGTTTTGTTTTGTGTTGCTGCTCCTGGAAAAGTGAGCAACTTAGCCGGAGCAAAATGCGCACTCATATCTGGTACTCCCAGCCCTCCCCATCTTCCAGCCCCTGGTTGAGCACCCCCCGCAAGTCTCTCCTGAGGGTGCCCTGCCGGAGCCGTTCCCAGTTGGTGCTGCTCCGGGAGGTACTGCGAGAAACCGAGGGTGTAGGAAGGGACAGCTGGGGGCCAAAGGGGCGGCCCAGCTCCAGTTTTTCCCCTGAGTCTTTGTCCAAGCCTTCCGTGCCCGGGTTGTGGAAGGCCTGTGCGTAGCGCCGGATCCTCTGTCGGTTGAGATCCTGCCTGTCTTCTACCCTGTTGAACATGGGAGGACTTGAAACAGCCAGTTGGTGCAGAGCAGTCCCCCAGGGAGGCTCTTCTCTTGCCCACTCTATCCTCTGTCCCCACTTTAATTGGCCTTCTCCTTCTCTGCAGCTGGTGTGGGTGCAGGGGAAATGAGCCCAGCCGTGGGGCTCTTGGGTACCTGTGATGCTTTGAAGGGGGCAAGCTTCTAATGGCCCCTTCTTTAGGAGCAGACCCAGGCATAAGGCCCACTGGGCACACGGACTTCTATAGGGTCCGGGGAGCTAGATATTGTCTGAGCAAAGGGACACCCTGCTCAGGGATGCCCAGCCTGACTTTGTCACTCACCGCAGGAACCAGCGGTCCCCCAGGCCGAACTCACGCCCACAGATCCCAGAGCGGGGCCACAGGCAGCGGGGCAGCTTCCGCTCCAGCATCACTGTGGTGGCCACGACCTGTGTGTGGGGACAGAGGGGAAGGCAGAGCTGAGATTGCATGCAGGGACGTAACCTAGAGGGAGGACCCAGGGAGGAGAGGGTGCCAAGCAAAGGGACAATAGCTAGGAAACGTGGGGGCTCCTGGCTGCCCGGAGGTGATGTCTAGCACCTCTGACTGGGAGGGTGGTGGCAAGCTTGCTGACACCTCCTTGTGGGAAAGGGCACATGGCACTTGCACCCACATTCTTCGCCCGGTGATTCAATATCCAAGGCTTTGCAGGAGGGTACAGGAGACTGAGAGAACTAGTCCCAAGATGAGCGGGGACAAGGGCAAAGCAGGAACAGAGGGCTCCAGGGTAATTCGACCACACAGACATAAAGGCCGTTTATAAATATAATATAAACATCTTGGAGCCAGCAGATGGCACAGTGGTTACATCGCTGGACTCCCACATCCTTGACCATGGTTAGTCTCAGACCCAGTGGCTTGAAACTCATGCCAGGTGTGTGTGCTTGTGTGCCCAAGATCCCAGGAGGAGAATGAAGAAGGGATTGCAGGGCGATCATCCCCCGGGAGATGACTTCTCACTTTCCCTCTCACTGTCTCCATCTCTCTCTCTGGCGAGTACACATACCCTAAGACATCTTATTTTGTGAAGTTTAATACCGATACATTTTCATAAAATATTTTCCTCAGAAAACCCCATTTATCCAACTTAGGTTTTTACTCTGCTTTCTGCATAGCATGGTTAAATGCCTTCTAGTTTGGGAAGCTTCCACTTTTATTGTACTGAAATTATTTTTGTGGAGATACATTATTTTCTAAGTATTTTTTTAAATGAGAATTAGATTCATCTAATGATCTTTCACCCCTAACCAGATGATCTGACTGAAGATGGCTTCTGCTACTACAGGACATTTTCGTGGTAGTGTTTTTAATTCATCCAACTTTTCTGGGTCAAGTTTTGCAGACTTAAATATTGCCAAGAAAACTTGATACTCCAGTTTTTATTTGAGAACAAAATTTACGGAATGCATTTTTAGCCACCATTAACTTTATTTTTTGTTGATTTGTTTCTTGTTGTTTATTCTAGAAAAAAAATGAATTCATAGTCAAAAAAAAAAAAGCTGTGGGGAATTATTTTCAGTGATTCCAGTACTCCCAGTCTGATTCATTGGCACATTTTGCATGATTTGGGTACCACATGATAACTGTCCACACATATGCAGGGTTAAAAATATCCTGCTTTAGTTGGGGCTTGGCCACTTCCTTGGAGAGGAGGGATTGACCTGCGCTAGCCCTCCCAGCCACCAGATGGCTCACCTGCGCCCTCCAGAGCTCATCCCGCTCATGGGCCACTCTCCAGTGAGTGTCGCCCATCATGGCAATGAGGAGATTGAGCATGAGCAGTGTGGCGATGATGGCGAAGGCAGCATAGGTGATGCTGTACATGAAGGGCAGGTCCACATTGTAGTTGGCAGGGCCATCGATGATGGTGAGGAACAGCTCAAAAGTGCTAAACAGTGCCATGGGATAATCGTAGAAATGGCCCAGCTCCTCGGGGTCCTCTGTCTGAAAGATGATATAGAAGGCTGCTCCACCCAAGGGGGTGACGGTTACCATGGCAACCATATGCATGCCCATCCCACAGCCAGCTCTTTGCTGCCCATTTCAATCCTGTTCCCTTCATTACAGAATCACCATCCCAGCTTCCCAATGTTCCACAATTTGGGTGTGAGCCTCCTGATCCCAAGAACCACCTCTGGCCCTAACACTGGATTTCCCCCCACCTCTGAGGGATGTCTTGGCTTCAGACATTGTGTGGACTCTTTTGACCTTTTTCTTCACTCCTATGCTTCCCCAAGTTTAGCCTGAGGCTTTCTGTGCTCTCTGGGCTCCCCCAACCTTTCCCATCCATGGCCTCCATTCTGGACCAATAATTTACCTGAAGCAAAGCCCAAGATGACCACAGCCATCAGCCAACAAAATCGCATCAGATCACCAAAAATCATCTAGAGGGAGGAGGAAGCAGAGAGGTCGTCTTTGCACGTTCCCTGAGCCATTCGCCTATCTGACCTCCAGCAGGCCCACCCTCTAGATGGGTTGCAAACTGGCCTGCAGGCCAGATCTACCTGGCCCACTTGTGTGGCTCTTGAAGTAAGAAGGATTTTGCATTTTTAAAGGATTAAAAAAAAAAAAAAAAACAGAAAGAACATGCAACATAACCATGGCGACCCTCAAATCCTGGAGTATTTACTATTTGGGTCTTTACAGAAATGTTTGTGACCACTGCTCTAGGACCTTTCTCTAAAAAGCTTGGAGAGGCACTGACCTTCTGGATCATGATGGTGAAAGGGCCCAGCATCTGGAATCCTCGGGCAAAGTACATGACATTGCACCAGCCCAGCACCAGGGCGAAGGACATGGGCACCACCTCCCCATCGGCATTGGTGAGCCGCATCACCATTGTCACCAGCACCATGAAGGCATAGGTGATGCTGGAGGGAGAGTAGGGAGGGGCTGGTGAGAGGAGGCTAGGATAATCCTGGGGACCTGACAGCAACAGGGTAAGTGGAGCACTCCCCGCCCACTCAGAGTCAGCCTTCACACACTCAATATACTTGACCACACATGTACCACTGGAAAGGGATCTCTGGAGTGGAGGTTCTCTAGAGGTCAGGAATCTAGGACGTGCAATTAGAGCTCTAGTGGAAGAAGAGATATGGGTGACAGGAAAGAGACTCACATGAGGACATGGAATGGGCCCCCAAGTATTGTCTGTCCAAAGAAGCGAGTAACCCCCACTCTGAAGATGTCTGGAATCTGGAGAGATCAGAAAGACACAAAGATATGTGTAAGCCAGAGCTCACACTGGATCCCTGGGACATACAGGCTCACCCTGAACCCATCCACATTTTACCTCCACTAGTAGGATAATCACAGCCCCAATGATGGACACCAGCTCCCCCACCAGCCGGATGTCGTCCTTGGGGGTCTCATAGGCTTCCTGAGGGAGGGAAATGGAGGTCAGAGCACTCAGGGCTTCCACATATCTGCCATGCCTGTCTCTGGTGTTGGGGGCAGCCAACCCTGTCAGGTTTACTTTAACCATGGGGTTCCACTCTTCCCCACCTCTGCTCAGAGAGGAAGAGTGTGTGTGTGTTTCAGTGTGCATGTATGTTGAGTTTGTACTCATGTACTTGAGATGAGATGAGGGGTGAGGACAGGAAAGTGATCTAAGAAAGGGCAGACAACAGAGCCCTGCCCTCTGATCGGTGCATCTGCTGTTCCCATGGTGTCACCTGAAGTAGCTTCTGTTGTAAGAGGGTGTTGTCCCGAAGGCTGGTGCGATTGCTGGTCCTGGGCTTGAGGGGGCGGTAGACACAGCACGTGGTGAAGCAGATGATGTACAGCAGGTAGATGGCGCCCAGAACACAGAAGTACGGCCGCCCATACCTCTTCCACTTGAGGCTCACCAGCTCTTTCACCGGTGTCTGGTCTAGGATCTGGCGAGCCTGCCGTGGAGAGTAGAGCAGGCAGCTCAGGACACTGGATATACCCTCACCGAGCCACTCTCTGCTGAGGAGACCCCTTACCTCCCGCTTCTTGGTGGTGATGATAAGTTCCAGCAGGGACTGCTCATCCCCCGAGGAGTCTATCTCTGTGAGGTCGTAAAGAGTGGAGGTCAATGGCCCGTATGTCCACTGGATGTGCTTCCGCTTCTGCATCAGGTGTTGGAACATCTGAATGAGGATGGGGTGAATCAGGAGGAGCACGTGAAGGGAATGACCACTGGGTGTGGATGGGAAGCCTGTCCAGGAGGGTAGCACCACTGCAGGGGCTGCTCTTCATGCAGGACCACAGACTGGAGGGTGGACGGACCGTACTCATGCTGACCTCCTTGGATCCTCCTCCTCCCCCATGACTCTCTCCAAGACTTAGGAAGAGCAGGTGAGGGCTGGAGAGCTGTTGTTCTGGGGACTGAAAGGGTAGGGGGGTCTGGGTGTCATGGACAACCCCAGTGTGACCAACACCTTGGGGGAGAGAGAGAGCCGAAAGGGAAGGGGACGAGAGAGATGGGAGATGACAAGAAAACCCCAGCCTGAGCTGCGGATAGGACCTCCACATCAGGATGTGTGTCCATGTCTATTTCCTGCCAGAGCTGGCTGGGTAGGGAGAGGATCATTGAAAAGAACCTCAGGGTTGAGGAGGCCCTCACCACGGTGTTGCCCTCCACTCCAGCCAGCTTGAAGGGCGTGAGGCCCTGGTGGTTGGGCACGAGGTCCAGGGGCTGCAGGTGGTCCCCATGCCCATCGTAGGACAGCAGCAGGTTGTACATCTGGCAGGCAAAGGTTTTGTTGGGCTGGAGGACGAGGATGTGCAGCACCGTGTTTCCTGAAGAGGACACAGGGTGTCATGCGGCCACTGCCCTGGAGTCCCTGATGTCCCATCTCCACCATGTGGTTGGCCTGAGGGCTGTCCCAGCTCCTCCCTCACACCCCTGCAGCCCTCAGCTCTCACCCAGGGAGTCCTGGGCCCGGATGTCAGCTCCGTGCTCAATGAGCAGCCGTACGATCTCCTCACTGCCCACACAGGCGGCAAAGGACAAAGGGTGCTCCCCTGGGGACACAGAGGGAGCCATGGCAGGAGAGCACGAGGTGGCAGGAGGGGACAGCAGTCTCCCCCAGTGACAGCCTCTTCCTTCCCACACCTCGGCTCAGTTTGGGAACACGTGTTTACTAGAGCCAGAGGAAGGGAGATACGGAGGTGTTGGGGTGCAGATTTGGCCTCTGGTCTTACATCCTATAAGGGTTGCCCCTCGTAGCCTCCCAACACAGATTCAGCTGGGGGCCGGGCCCTGCTCAGCCCACCCTCCCTTTGCCCTTCCCACCTTCCACCTCCTAACTCCCTTTCCTCCCACCTGGCCCTGGCTCTTACCAAAGTAGATGAGGTTGTGGGGGCTGCGGTGGAAGGCAGTGCCCGTGGCCCTGGCAGAGACGCTGGCCCCGTGGGCAAGCAGGGCTCGTACCAGGTTCACATTCTGGTTCACCACAGCGATGTGCAATGCAGTCTGACCTGGCCAGAGAGACTGTGAGCCCCAGGAATCCTGCAGGGCTCTCTCTTTGTACCCATGGTGCTCCCAGGGTAGCCTGGGAAGGAGGACTGGGGGTCCTTAGGTGTTCGGGGTTCCCAAGGGATCTGGCTGCTGCTTCTCTCTTGCCCTTCTCAAAGCCCCTGGCATTTCTGGGCTCAGGTGTTCTAATGATGTGCAGTTGGGATTGACAGGAGGAAGGGGATGGAGACAGCAGGGAGAATAGGGAGTCTCAGATCCCCTCCTTAGTGTCCCTGGATTGTCTGCCACAGACTGCCTTGAAAAGTCCAGCAGGTCCCCCCTGTCCTCTCCCTCCTGAGCCCCTGGGCTCCTTACCTTCATACAGCTCAGATGTCATGGGCTCAAACACCAGCTCCGGGGCAGCCTCCATCAGCAGCATGGCGGCCTCCAGGTTGTCGTAGAGGGCCGCGACATGCAGCGCCGTCTCCCCCAGGGCTCCTGGCATGTACAGGGTAAAGTGTCAGGCAGACCCTCTGGGCCAATGCAGGGGAGGTGCTGTGTGAGGTGGGTTTTGGGGACTCTGCTCCCTACCTCTCTGGTGCACCTCAAAGGCCTCGTACTTGAGCAGCTTGTTCAGAGCCTGGATATCGTTCTCTTTGGCAGCGAGGAGGAGCGGTGACTCCCAGATCCTACCAGAGAATAGGGTAAGGAAGGTAGCCACGGTGAGCACACCCAGCTGTGGAGCAAGGGCTGATAGTTCTGCTCCATCTTGCACAGACCTGTGCGTCCCATCAGCAATGCGCCAGGCAGGTGGGCCCTTGACATGAGAGGTCACCTGACATCTCTTCTCCCAGCAGTCAGCATGAGCCAACTTTTTGCCATTTAGCTTGTGTGGGAAACTGCCAGGGACTGGTTTCCTACGTCCCTGGTTGCTGGACCAGCATACACAGTGTGTGAGAGTATCCTCGGTGCACTTCAGGGTAGGGAAGGGAGGATGTACTTACACATGCATTGTCCTCCTGACCAGCCACCTGTGACATGGTTCTGTTCTAGCCCCACCTGGCAACCTGAGACTGCCCTTCAGGCTAAGCCTTGTTCGCAGACTAGGGGAGCATAGGGTATTGGTGGAGGAAGTCAGCATACAGAGTCTAATGTGTTTCCCCTCCAGGTGGTGCTCCGCCTCCTCGGCCTCAGCATAGCCCTTTGATCCCAGTCTTCCCTTCCCTTTGACAACCTCTTCAGACTCAACCCAAAAGCAGCAGGGGCCTAGGACTAGGCTCCCCTTCCTGTTGAGTGCTCATTCATTCATCCATCCCTTCACACTCTCTCTCTGTCTCTCTGTCTTCTTTCTTTTCTTCCTTCTTTCTTTTTCTTTCTTTCTTTCATTTTTGAGAGGTTTTTACTATAGGGCACATGCGCTCACCAGAGAGACAGAGAGAGACAGAGAGAGACAGAGAGAGACAGAGAGAGACAGAGAGAGACAGAGAGAGACAGAGAGAGACAGAGAGAGACAGAGAGAGACAGAGAGAGACAGAGAGAGACAGAGAGAGACAGAGAGAGACAGAGAGAGACAGAGAGACAGAAAGTGAGAAATCCCCCCCCAGGAGGGATGGCCACACCACAATCCCTGCTCCTCCATTCTCCTCTTGGGATCTTGGGCACGCACGCACACGCGCCTGGCGTGAGTTTAAGCCACCAGGTCCGGGACTCCAACCACGGTCAACTACATGGGAGTCTAGCGACATAGCCATTATGCTAACTGCTGTTCCCTGTCTTTCTTATCACATCTTACTCTCTAAAGCTTTACTTTGATTTTTTTTTTTTTTTTTTTTTTTTTTTTTGCTGTAGGGCAGGTGTGCTCATGAGAGAGCAAGAGAGCGAGGAAGTGAGAAATCACCCCCAGGGGAATGGCCATACCACAGTCTCATCTCCTTCAGTCTCTTCTTTAGATTTTGAGCACGAACACACACGTACTTGGCATGATTTTTGAGCTGCTGGGTCTAGGACTTGAAGCATACCATTGGTCATGTGGGATCCAGTGTCTTAACCTCCATGACACCTGCTGGCTCCAACTGCCTTACTTCTTAAAGCAGATTCCTGAGTCATCGGCATCACGTGAGCAAGTACCAGCATGAAACGTGAACTCTCAGGCTCACCTTTCCATCCCGCCAATAAGAATAGACAATTGAAGACCCAAGCTGGGTACTGTCATTTGGCACACTTCGCTCAGGCCAGGAGTTGTGTGCAAGATCCTCATGCTAATACACTGGCGGAAAGCTCAGGAGCGACAATTTCAAACAGCACACATCAAAATTTAAGAAGGGGCTGGGCCCATAGCCTGGTGGTTAAGGGAGCCAGATCTCACATGGCTGACCATAGTTTGAATCCTGACTCTAGCAGTTTGAATGACGCACAGGGTATGCCGTGTGAGCACCCCAAATCCACACAAGATGGAGAAATGGAGCAGAAAGGATTGAGGCGTGATTGCATCCCCCTTGGGGCTGTACTCTCCCTCCCTCTCTTTCTAGAAAGCACACATGCCCTCTGGCAATTTAAAAATAAAAACAAGAAAAAGTTTGGGGAACAACATTCTCCCTCATTTCAGACCACCTCTCTATGGAGTGCTACTTTATATCCACTGCTAGTACCTATGATGACATAAACCCTGGCCTGCAATGATAGATGCAGAAAAACTAGAGAATCCAATTTAGAGGATTCATTTATTAAATTTCATCTGAATGTTCCCAAGCTCTTCTCTGAATTTGCTAGCATTTACCCAATTTTGGATTAATGCATCTTTTTAGTTCTCTGGCCCCTAAATCAGGTTATAATCTCTCCATACTTATTATGTACTTCTCAGTTGTTTTAGGTAAAATTGTGTTTTCTGAATCTCCAGACCATCTCTCAAATCTTATTCCTACAAATATAAAAGCCCTTTTAAAATCAGAACTTACCTAAACTAAGACACACAGTTCCCTTTTATTCAGTTTTCCCTCTCAGCCTGGATATATTTGGTCTTCCTAGTGGAGCAAATGAAATAGTTCTATTTATCTATAGATGGCCAATTACGTGACCTATAAAATGACATAGACAGAAGCTCAGTGCTGGCAGGATAAAATCTACTCTGAGAACTAGGAGAGGAGGCAGCCAGAAGAAGGGAAATGAGGTCGTTCACCTCCCCTGACCACATGCCACGTGGGCATCTTCCAGGACCTGTCAACCTAACATCTAAGGTCCTCTCTCCACTCAGCCCCTACCTCCTTGTCCCTACGAACCCTTATGATTATACATCCTCGTTTTCTAGCTCAAGATTAGCAAAATACTCTCCTAACTAACTTCCTTGCAAACCATTAGTTTGTCGTAAGCCATGGCATGTTTTTCTATGCAAAAAAAAAATCATGACTTTCCCGACAACCCAATACCTCCCCCCAAGGTAACCTTTTCAATGTTGCCAAGATCATCTTTGTAAGCGGCAAATGTAATCACAGTTTACAGAAGTCTGATGGGGCCTTACATTCCCAAAGAGAAGGAACACAGAGGTCTTGTACAATCTTTGTGCAGCTACCTTTCCACCCGCTCTCTGTTCCTCCCACTCGCTCTATATGTGGCACTTCGATCTCACTGCATGCCTCAGCACTGCAGAGCACACCGTTCTCCCTCTGCCTGTGCCCACAGGCTCCTTCCTCCCCCAATTCAACTCCCCCACCCTGTCGATTGTTCATTGTCTCTTCTGTACTCTCTAGACCTAGGAACGCACTAGCATGGAGTCAACACACACTAACACTAGCCATGCCAAAGGCATTGGGCCTTACTGCCCCCTCACTATCTCCATCAGCCACACTAAACCAACCTTGAGCAAACATACAATCGAAGTAAAAACTAGCATGCTTGGTATGCAAACACAGCTGCAAAACAAGTTTTTTACACCCTTTTCCACCACCTCCACTCCAGCTGCTTGCCCAAACCCCTCCTCTATAGACAGTCTAGAGCCACGCTAGAATGGGGGAGGAGGGGAGTTGGGAACAGAACACACACACACACCAAAAACAAACAAACAAACAAACAAAACAAACAAACGAACAAAAACAATAGAGAATACCGGCCCCGACACACCACGTATCACACACCCAGACACACGCACCATCCCTGGGAAGTCTTTTACTCTCTGCTCTGGCTTTTACTCCAGCTTCGTTACTGGGTATTGCCAGTAGCGTCTGTCTCTTTCTCTACAGTCGAGGACTTGGAAGGCAAGTACCAGAACACCTGTCTCTGTGTCTTTGTATCTATTCCCTGGCCTCTTCTAACTCACTCCCAGTCTTGTGCTCCATTTTGACCAAATGTCTGAAAGTTTAAGGACAAAGAGAGAAATGAACCCAAGGGAGCACTTTATCCAAGCACAGACTTCTAATCTCTGCAATATGTCTGTTGCATCATCTGTGACAAGCCCAGAGATTTTCCTTTTTGTCTCTGCACATCTCTTAACCCATAAATGTCTCCCACACTCCTACGTCTTCTATGTATTCTTCCTTCTGCCTCTGCTAAAGCCCCAATGGCCTGGGGAAGGACAAGGAGCTACTGTTGACCAAGGTTGCCAGAGTTACCAACCAAAAATACAGGATGCTCAGTTTAGTTGGAATGTTCGATACACAGCTAATGGTTTTAGTATAGATACACCCCCATACATTATCTGGAATATACTTATGCTAACAAGTTATGCACTGTTTATCTGGAATTTAAATATTCACATTGAGCATGTGTCTTATATTTCATCTGGCAACCTAGTCAGACTACACTCTGGGTGAAGAATCAGCTTATGACCCAGTCCACAAAGATCAGTGGAGAACTGGTCTCTGGTTGCAAACAGAGCCCAGCAAAATTGCCAATGCATGGATGGGTTCCCAGGGAACTGGGTAGAGCCATTACTTGACATCGTAGGGCCACCAGGCGACAGGAGAGAAAGGTTTAGGTTGCATTTTGGGAGTTAGACTCCAAGAAAACCCCTGATTGTCCTTGAGCTTTAGAAAGGAGGGTCATAAAGCAGGCCTATCCAAAGATTCTTCTGCTTGAGGCGCAAGTAATTTTTCTATAGCAGCTCATCCTGCATAGGACTGCCTCCCCCCAAGCAAAGAATTATCTTTTGCAAGATGCTAACAGTGCCAAGGCAGAGAAATCTTGACTCAGAGGTACAATTATACAGAATGCATTTTTGAAAAAGGATTATTCACACTAAAAAGAATTAGGAATTCCCTAAGCATAAAAAATACTTTCTTGCAGATCATTAAATACTCAACTAAGGGAGAAACAAAAAGGTGAAGATTTTTAAGCTCCCACTGATTAAGTAGCAAAAGGAAATTATAGAGCAAAGCTGAAATTATGACAATATGAGAAGTATTTTCAAGTTCTAGAATGGCTTATTTGGCAATTAATTAGAAAATTGAGCAGTCTGGTTCTGTAGCAGGTGACAAAGGCCCAGTTCTGAAGGTACAACACAACACCCCACACTGTTTTGTTGAGTAAATGAATCAGTGCTTTCCTCCTCGGGCCACCAAGCGAAGTCAGTCCGGACCGCCCTTCTCTCGGTGCCCTCCGCCCCATCCCCTCCTCAGTCCTGGGTCCTCCTGGGATGGACGCCGGCATATGCCTCTGCTTGAATCACATTTTGGTTTGGGTTGCTGAGAAACAAGGCAGG